TGAAGTGAAAGAGCGAAGTGTGTGAGAAAGAGCATCTACCAAAAAAAGCAATTAAGTAGGTAAAATAAAGGAATATTAGTGCGAAACGCGCTACAAAGTCTTGAACGAAAAGAAAATAGAATTACACCGCAGCAATATTTTAATGAAATACTGTTACGATAATTAGCGACGTAAAGTTTAATTATACAGTCGCGTTTGGACACGTTAACATTAATTTACATATTGCAGGTAAAAAAAATGCGTTGCTAATGTAAAAAAGCAGTAATAATCTTAAACAGTAGTCAAGTTTTAGGTAGCAATAAAGTCGTTCTTTAATAATACTATTTCTTCGAACTACATATGAAAAGATATTCGGTTGAATAGATAGAGTAATACGGAGATAAGTTCGCGGAATGATAGTAATCATACAACAGAAATAAAAATCCTCGAAATATTAAAGCCTGCTGTGGAAACTGGAGCAGAGGTAATAGAAAATAATGCTCGGTCTTCATCGCGGAGAAAATATATCACGGCAGTTAAATTATGCGGCTGAGAACGATGATTCACACACGGTAGCTTAGTCAGTGCTGCGGAAACGCGAGAAGCGCCCCGCCGCCTTAAACAGACACGATAGCGGTAATAAAAGTTCACCACATCGGCGATACTATTTCCCTCTAAGCTGCCCATAAATGGATATTCAACCGAACAAAGAACGAAGTGCGGAAGCGCGCCGTCCGAAGGGGTAATAATCGTGCGGATAAAATAAAATCCTCTAGATATTAGAGTGCGGATAAAGAGGAGTGTACAGGGAACTATGCGGTATCGCGTATCCTTAAAACTCGCCCCAGATCCTTATAATTTTCACACTCCACTCGGGAGTGCTCCGTCGAGAACGAGAGTTTCGTGGATCGAATCTCGAATACAATGAACCCTTCGCGCCGCCGCTGTTCTCGGGCGCGGAAGTACCTCCGTGACCCAGCCCAGCCGCGATCACGGCTCTTCCGGGGAAGTTGAAAAGTTGTTTCAGACGCCAATTCCGGGGAAGATGAAGACGAACAAAGAACCGCCAGCGAAAGAGGCAGCACGTCTTGCTACTCGGATTTTCATCCGGTCCGGCTATAATCCCGCTCTCTCCGACTGAAGGAACTGAAAACATTTACAGTCGGCTCGAAACTCACCGCCCCCCCTCTGCCCTCCTGCCGTGCGACTATAAATCCGACTTCTATCTTCCTCTCCCGCCCCGTACCGCCGTCGACCGCAAATTTATCAATCTCGATGTCGGCGCGCACGAGACGTCCATTCTTCAGCCAACGAAATGAACGACCTCGTCTCCCCAACGCGATCGCGAGCAATTTGTCAAATCACGCTTGTTTGCCCTAAGCACTTGCCGAACTCACGGAAACGGATAAGTTTCGACGACGAACGGATTCTTCGCCACCTTCACCCTTCTCTCATCGCCGTCGGCGCGTTCTTTGGTCGTGGCACTAATTAAAGGTCGCGTATTGTCACGAGCGAGGTTTGTTCGCATTTCAATTACGGCCCGATCGATTTCGCTGAATGAAGCGCCGCGAGCCAATCTGAAGGTCCCACCCTAGCCTACATTGTTCTTATCCCCCTTGTTCATCAGGAATTCGACGGCTGCAAGACATGGGCTTTGACATAGTACATACCGACCTCGAAAATTGAATACTACGCAGCGAGCATCAGAGATGTTCGGTTAGACCCAAAGCGATTATTGCATTTCATCCAATGGCGCACATTCCTTCAAAGCACGGCCAAAAATATACGTTAAAGTTACAATTAAATATTACTAGAATACTTTTCTAAATATATTATTTATTTTTCAAGTATTTTCTTTTAATCTTTGCTAAATAAATTTTTTATTTCGTGAATTCGATAAGAAGCGATATGATATTTTCATCAGACTATGTTTTGAATTATCGTAAAAAAGCAGTATGCGACTTGCAAATTTTTTGATAAAATTATAATGATTGTTAAATGGTTAATTTCACTATACAAAAGTTTAAATTTAACGACATAAAATTTCGCGAATCGAACCACAAGCCTATTCGCGCTGTATCGTCAATTTCGTTCTAAGCAACAAGTCTTCTTATCGTTTAAATTAAATAACACAAAAGTAAGTAAAAAAGTAAAAAAGTGCTAAGTAAAAAAGAAAAAAAACAGGTAAACAGCAAAGATGCACAGTTCCGATAAATAGATCTAATTGTATTTCTTATTTATTCTGGCAAAAGAAGACTTCCGTACAAACTTATGATATTAAGGTGACAGAAATTTGCTATTTTTATAAAATATCTTTTAATAATCGGATTTATTTTAAATAATTCATCACCAAATCTATTTTCAACCGCAGAGAAAAGATCGTCTAAAAAATTCATAAAACATTTAGTTGATTACGAGAATGAAATTTATCGATTTGAATCTCAAGTCGTTTCACATTGACGTCGTATTTATTTTTCATGACATGCATCAAGAAAAATGGATGAACGTAGAAAAGTTTAATGTTAGTTCTTCGTTTATATTTCAAATTCTACCGAAAAAAAAGACGGCGCAGAATATTTTATACATATTTTCGTTCTTCTCGACTTATTTTTTTTAGTTTCCGTAATATCCGCGGAATATAGTAACGACGTTTCCGAAGATTTCTCTGAATGGTGATCATTAAAATAAAGTCACGCGAAGAACGAAGTGCCCGTTGAAAAGAGGTGACTTCACCGCCGGTAACGAGCGGAATTAATAAAACGCCACTGTTTGCGAATGTAATTTGCGGGATGGAATCAACGTCTATTTAAGTCCTGATGAAATTACCGACCGGTTAGAGACAGATGGAGCTTCAAAGGAACAGGATAATATTCATTCATAAATTCTACCTGCCCCGAGGCGAGCAAGACGAAGGAGAAGGCGCCGCAAGACAGATAGGGATCAGATTGGAGCGGCTGTAAGAGGCGGGTCGATACTAATTAATCTAATTAACGAGGTCAATTTAACCCCCAGGTCGACCCTAATGGCTTTTTCAGCTTACTTTCGTGGCAATGTAATATTTTGGCCAAGTCTGTTGAATTAGCTCGTACTGCAAAGACGGATTAACTAAGATTTAACCAAGACTGCAGAATGTACGAGGAATCCCGGAAAGAATATCTCGCTCCCATTTAAGCAACATAAATCCCATCGCCATGTAGAAGTCAAATTATTCTAACAAAATGGATATCAAGAATAAAATCACGTTAAGCGGTTATTCTTTGCAACTTTGTGAAGAATACAAATTTTTACTAAAAACTATTTTCTCCGATAAGATATATGGAATATTACTTCTTACTTAAAAATTTGTAAAAGACTGCAAAGCGTTAACAACAATAATATTCCAATTTCTCCCTTAATCAATTAATTTCTCACTTTCAGTCTTCGAGTCGCGTGACGTCGGACACGGTCGACAGAAATTTCGATTTTCCGCCAAAATTGCAGTGAAACAGCCTGTTTCGGACTTCGCGTAAAGTCTGCCAACGCACGCAGTCCATATCCCTCGCGGTTTCCACTAATTTCGTAACTAATTACGTCTCCTTCGAACTCAGCACGACCGCTGCTGCGAGCACTGCCGGCACGGGAACTATTTCGATCCCTTTGAAAGCTACATTTCGGGTTTGTTCGCGGGAATGGAATGAGAAACCGCAACGCGTAACATTTTAGCGAATAACTCGACGCATTAAAAACGCGGCCGATCGATAAGCAGTGCATTTCAGAAAGTTTACGCAAAATTTTGAAATTATATTTTTTAATTAATTTAAAATCGATTTCTTTTTACTTGATATATGATGATAATTAATCAAAGTAATTGTTTCTCGTCAAATGTAAAATTTTACCGTATTCGAAATACGATATCGCAAAAACTCCGTAAGATTACCGAGGGCTGCGACGCATGGCATTTAATTGCACCGTGTGTTTTGTCGATCCCTGGTTAAAATTCCGCGGATCTTGCGGTAAAAAGCGGTTCGAAGAAGAGGAGCGAATGGATGGCGGTGAAATCTGCACGCGTAGCGTACAATACCGGCTGCAATCGCGTCTAGAGCGACGTTAGTTTTTCGCAGGGACGTCTGCTTGCCGTTTATTCGTCGTCGATCGATCGTTAAATCGCGCGTGACGATGAATGCCGACCCGGGGTGAAACCGACGAGACACGGGGTGAAGCGCGTTAGAAAAGATCGTCCGAGGGATTTTTCAGGATTGCGCTGTAGACGCGCGCGTGTGCGCGCGGTGTCGCGCCGCACGCATACATATATATATAGATGCGTCGTCTGTAGGGGTGGCGCATTATTTCCGGAGTGGCGGACAACGAGTCTCGGGCGGTGCATTAATTGACTATAAATTCAGTGCCCTCCCTTTCTCTCTCTCTCTCGGCATTAATCCGGCTATCTCGAGAGCGGCTTCCGTCGTCCGCGGCTGCTCCCGCGACTACAAAAGCAACGCATCGCCGTTAACGAAGCGCCTTAAACGCGCGCTATTTAGCGCGCTCCACAACGAAAACAGGACGACGAAATGTTTTCCCGGATCGGAGGCTACTTGGCAAGAGTAATTGATCGTTAAATGCATTTGCATCGCAGCGCGGTTGTTGTTTCGCCGCCGGATAACGATTACGCAACGCTCTGCAACTTAATCGTTGCGTAATGTGAGAAATAACACTTGAAACGAATAAAATATTTATTTACGTTACGGCATCGACTAGCAATAACTCTGTGGGTTTCTTTTTCAATGTAATATTCATCGCACAAAAATTTCGCAGAAAATTTGCAATATTTCGAAATTGTATATATATAAATTCTAGATATTCCAATCCGCTGTATCAGCACTGTTCAATTTGTAATTATAAATTACTAGGTATATTAAGGAATTTTAATTAAGAGTATATATATTTCCATACGTGTAATATTAGAAGATAAAAATATCTATGAAGTGAATATAACGTAATTATCTGGAATATTATAAATGAAGCCAATTATTATCATTTTGCAGGTCGAACGCACGACTCGGTTTACACTCTGTATAGATTGGGCGAGAGATTGTCTACGGGCGCGAGATTATACGTGGAAACCGGAAGAGCCGATGGCTTGGACACGGACGGGGACTCGCCGAACAGTCTGCATTCCTTCACAGGCCCGCCGATTCCTCAAGGCGAAGGCACGAGCATCACTCGAGCCTTCTTGGACGGCAATCACACTCTGATTAGCATTATGGCACGCATCAATCCCAGTCCCGATTGGTTCGTTGGCGTGGATTCCTTCCAACTGTGCGTCGAGGGCAATTGGGTCGATACCGTTACCGTGGAGGTAATTACGTTTGACAATAATGTGCATGCAACTCAATGTGTCAATACGACCGAAATTGCTCCTCGTGAAAGAGCAAATTAAAATGTATGCATGTATATATCAAGAATGTAATGCATATATCATACTGTATAAAGCAATATAGTTGCATTTTTTCAAGAAAACAAACATTACTACGTCAATTTGTAATTATGATTCTGATAAATCTACATCAATCTAGAATTTGTGAGACTAATTTAAAATTTTTTAAATGTGTAACGAAAAAAAAGATATTTCTATTTTATATGACACATTATGTGATATTATTTTTAATTTATAATGATATTATTTATAATATCATTATTTATAATAATTTGAAGCTTTTATTACAATCACGTAGAATTACGAGAATATCTATATAACATGCAAATCACGTTTAAATCTACCTCGACAAGTCAGACATTCCAGCATCGCCGGCTGCGAAATATAATTTATGCATTTATCTCCGCGAATCGTTACTGCGCGCGCTGTCATTTTGCTCAAATCCGCGAATGCTCCGAAAATGCGTCCGCTTAAACCACCTTCCGCTGTTCCTTTTTCAACAGCTCGACCCACTAGATGGGGGCACGGATAACGGCTTCACATTCACGGCTGCCAACTGGCCGACGCAGCCCCAAGGAATCGCTTACAGGATCACATCCCGATATCCGGCACATCCCGCGGGAAGCTTCTATTATCCGAATCTACCTCGTCTACCGCCGATAGCTACCCTCACATTCACCAAGGTACGTATCTCATACCTTCGTGCATGTGCGACCTTTTATTTTCTTCATTAATTGATCTATTACGTGAGCCAACAGTTTAGGTCAGTTTAAAAATTATATTTTTATATAAATCCCCCTCTTCTCTCTCTCTCTCTCTCTCTCTCTCTCTCTCTCTCTCTCTCTCTCTTCGCACACATATCTTATACATATAATTATATGAAAATTTTCCTCTTCGTTTAGAATCATAAAAAAGTAATGAGATAAGTGAATTTTATATGAATTGCTTTTAAATCTTTTTATTTCCTATAATTAGGAGCGTATAAATTATATCACTGACGGCTCGATATTATCTCGTTCTTTTATGCATTTAACGTCTCGATTTCATGAGAGTCTCTTTATCGTTCGGTAAAATAACCGCGTGCAACGCATAGCAACCCATTAAAAGAACATCAGGCTCCGGTAATAGCGTTCCCTATTAATTTATTTCTCCGGTATTGATATGCCGCGTAATAAACGCCCTGACAATATCAGTTACAGCGTTAAAACTGATAAATTGCGTTTGCTGTTTAAGCAATCTAATAATTCTTCTTGTATCAGGCGATTCATTAATATACGCTCGATAATGCAAGACCTGATGTCACTTTATTGTACAAATTTTCGAATATCGGACACAAAGTGTAATATTAATGTTACACATTTTCGCCCGACTTCTTGTAAATAGAACGGACAAATCAATAAAACTTTTTTAAATATTTATTCGTAAAAAAGTCGTATCAATGTCGCTTTACTCGATATTTGTAATCATGAAATTTCAGGTGATAGGTGAATTCGTTACCCTCTTCGTGTTGCCGACATTAAATAAGTTCCGCCGCGCAAGAAGGACGGCTAGGTTCAATGTAAATATTTGTTTTCGAAAGCTATGCGAACAGGTTCACCTTTCACCATCACCTTGAGTTTCTGCAAACATCGAAGCTATCTTCTCGAAGTATCTTCCACCTTATTGCCAAACTGATATCTCTAACCCAGTTCTTTCGTCTGCTAGTCAATGTTATGCATCAAAGTTACAGTCCAGAAGTCTTTATTTCCAGAAAATCTGAGTTGATTATTCAAGAACCAAATTTATAAGAATACCTAAACGATCTTAATTATTGGATAAACGATTAATACTTTAATAAACGTTTTCAAGTCGATCGATTGATAAAAGCTTAAAAGTAACCTAATTTTTATTGTTAAAAATAGTTTAATCGCAATGTCACGAATTACACTCATGTGATTTGAATATAAATATTCTAATCGATAGAAGATTCTTCAGACAATCTTCTGTAGGATATTTAAGGATTAATTTTTAATATAACCGCAGGATGGCCACTTGTGCGATAACGAAATTTGAGAGGTAACGACTCGTATTAACTCGCTAATTATCTCTGCCTACAGTCCATCCACCTTCTCCCTCCCCCTTCGCTACCGACCTCTCTTTAACTCGTGTCACCTTCACTTCCGCTTTCCCATAGGGCAAAGGGTTCGCCTGCGAAATTCCTCCTCCTCGGCCTCACTTACCACTTAATTACCAAACTTTTGTCGCTAATCCGATATACCTACCCGCTCGCAGCTGGTTCTCCCATCATCTTCTCGTCGTCTTTCCCTCCCATCCTTCACTTTTCCTCGTTTATGATTATGTAATTTACACTCACTAATGCTTCCGACAGATTCGTTAGTCATCTTGTAATAAAAGGATAGAGAGCAGAGTAAAAAAATATATTGTGACGCAAAAATTAGAGAAAATATAAATACTTTGGAGCGATGTTTGTTTCATTATTGATTATTCTTGATTATCTTCAATGTTAATGATAATCTAATATATGTATATTTCCAAACTTGATTTAAACAAAATAGTGCCGAATCGTCATTATTTGTCATGTGCACTTCTCGCTGGCGTTTGAAATAAATTTATACGATCACCGTAATATACGTCATTCTATTTCGCTCGCAACGCGTTTTCACGAGTAGCTATCAAGAGCCAGTTTCAGCCCCATCGAGAAGGAGAGTTGCTCGCAACTGCGCTCGCGACCCCACTGTTTCCATTAAACTTCACGCTTCCGGAACTCCATTAAACTGAAAATCAGACCGCCTAATGTAATGCCCATTTCGTACAACAACGCACCCATTATCACCCCAAAGTGTCCGGTTTCGTGAAATCGAGGACGTTTGTTTACGCTACTTGACCGCTTGAGAGCTTTAAACAATGACGGCATGGTCAAGCGAAGAAATTAAAATTGGCGAACACAAATTGCACAAGAACTCACACATAGTGACGGAGCGCGCTTAATGTATATGTAATAGTTGAATAATAAATTCAATAATTTTATCTTTACGATATATTAATACAAATATATTGTAATATTTGTATGTTTGTAATAAAAATTACAAAATTTATGTATGCGATACATAAACTTGCTATAAATTCCTTGAAATAATAAAAGAACTTAGGAAGCTAAAGTTTATTTTGTTATGAATAGCACGTTCCCGAAATTAAATTTGCGACGCAGGATGCGGCGCGCGCGGCAACATCCGCGAAAAGGCTGAGCTGTTTAGTTCTTAAATAGAAAGAAGGAAATTATTAAGGCGAAAAAGAAAAATTTAATTAAAAAGTAACAGTGTAAAGAGATTTAATCCTAAATTTTCTCGGAAAGTGCGCATTTGTGTACTGACCCAATTAGATGAGCTAAAATAAAATTGTGATGTAAGATTAATTTTGTAAAAACTCATAAACATCATTCTCGAATAAGAAAATATACACAAGCAGGAAAACGTTTTTCAATTTATATGCAATTACAGATTAACTTTATATATGTCGAACCGCATCGTAGCGCTCTTCTCTTATTGAATTCTTAAAAATGATAATCAATGGATCTAATATACTACAATTACGATTATAACAATGTCAACTAATTATATAAAAATATTTCAAAATAATTTATAAGTAAAAAAAATGTATTTAATAACTTAAGCACATTCAGTTCATTATGCAATTTGTTAGAATCTGGAAGCCTTTCATATGATGTGATCAGCGGAAAACGGCGAGTGTCATTTATTAAGATATCAATTTTTCCAAATCAAGTTGAAATAACATAAAAAATAATATCCAAGAGTCAAATTATCAAGTAATACATCAAAGCGATCAGCTATCAAAGCGATTTCCTTACCGTAGATAATGTTTACTTCTTAAACACGAAATATCTGCGATCCCGGATGGAAACTAGCCAACGTTTGCAGATAGCTAACATTTATTCTAGTCGATTATCAATTGTTAATGTTGACCGCACGCGAGAACAATTTTACGCGGACGACTAATGTGCGAAATGTTAATTATTCTCGAGTATGGTTACCCGCGTGGGGATAATTAGTGTCTCTTGAGGCTGGCGCGCGGACGTGCTGGAGTATGAGTTACTAGCCACGGATATGGATAAATTGAGGTTTACGGCGGTGAGCCAAATCATCGCGAGGCAAATTAGCTAAATCGACTCGAAAATGGCGCAGCACCCCAAATTGATTTAAATGTCAGAAACTGAATTAGAAGATGTATGTTTTCGCGTATCAAAATTACGATTCCGATTACCGCCGAATTTATATCTCCCGTTAAAACTGATTATTGACGACGATAAAACATGAAAATCGCGTAGTAGCATTATTATTACGGCGTCGTACGATAATTTTATATTATTATGATACAAAATATAATTGAAAAAAACGAGCTTCGAATATATTTAAACATTCACGATCAATGCGTGAACGAATTTTGTTCGAATAGAGCGAATGCACTTTGGCTACAGCGTGTGCTAATTCGCTGGCGTAAAAATACCATCCTAATCGCAGAGTACACTCAAATCTTCCCTCGGGAAAGCCACGATCATGCTCCGGGGGCTGGTTACCGCTGGTAACGCATGAATTACTATCGTCGAGTACCGCAGATAAAGGGCTACGCTCACGCCAGCGAGCGAAATCGGCATGGAGCGGATTAGGCAGATTAAACAGATTAAGCCGAAGCAATAGGGGCCGCTTGCCTGCCTCTCGCACGCAGGAACGCTCAACCCCCGCCGCCGTATCAACGTCAACGCCCCAAACTTCGCGATAAGGAACCGCTTCGCGCAAAGACGAAGCTCGCGTGTGTGAGTGTGTAAGTTCACTACATTTAAGCTCTCCCAAACTCTCGCGATCGCATATCGCTGCACTCGGTGGCATACTTCTTGATATCGGATGATTCACGATTTCCTTTCTTATTGAAGTATCGTCATACTGCACTATCTTTGCATATATTCGTGAAAAGATGCATATTTTCTGGATAATTCACAAATTTTCATTACAAACATCAAATAGCAATTATTTTGTATATATCATCGCTGTTATAATTCCCGTGGTAATCTTGTCTCGAGGACACCGAAAATTGGATTTCAGTTAGGCAAAAAACGGTAGAATACATTGATGTATCTAACGAAAATTCCGAGCACGCAGTCAGCGGGGCAAACACCAAGGGTGCCTTCGAAAGTGCCGGCTACGTGTTTCGCTCCTCTAAACGCATGAAGAGAGCTTGCGATTATTTTTCTGCACGCGCCGTCGCGAATGTAATATGTAATATTCTGTATGCAGCACGTGCAACTTATTACTGATCCACGTACCGAAGGGCAGAAGGAGAATATCATGCGTTTCTCGAGTATAATATGAAAATATGAAAATTTATAAGAAACAAGTATTGAAAGCTTTAAATAATATATCGTTTTTGAAAAAAACTCGATGCAAGATACGTAAAAAATTTTAGTAAATATTTTATTAGTAAATATCGTTTTGGAACAAATGTTATTTTTCACAAAATTAAATGATTTCTGTAAGAGAGACTGGAATCTCATGCACTCACGCAAGCAGACGTGGAGGAAGAAAGTAAAAAGCCGATACCGGTGAAGTTACCTTCCTTCCTCCTTCATCGCGGCTGTTTCAAACTCCTGCGAAAACGCAAGAATTTATAACTG